ACTCTCGTAAATGCACCTTAAGTGCTCCTATACAGCGGTATTGGAAGGCTATGGTTAAGCTCTGGGTTTGTGCACAGTGTGCTGGAAATGTTGACCTCCAGCAAGGGGAGTGTGGTTAGACCTATCACTGAACACTCTCCAGTTGCTCCTTACCCCTACTATCTCTTTTCTTGTGGTACTGGCAGTTATTTCGTGGGAGATCCTATATTATGGATAGCATATATGATGAAATGTCCACTGTGTATTCACTCCTTGCAATTGTCTCATGTGCTTCCTCACATTCTGTTCTCCTTCACCACCAATTGCCCAACCTCTGTCTGTCTTGTTCTTCATAGAATCTGCCTGGGCTTTTTTTCAAGGCTGTCCATGTGCAGATACACCTTCTTTGGTGACTGCCTATTAATTGAGCCATGTCCATCTCTTTCTTTGAGCCATATTATTGTTCCTTAAACTTTTCTTCTGATGATCTGATATTCTGTCAGTTATCGCCAAAATCAGGCCTCCCAGCCACCCTCCCAACACTTGCTATTTCCCCACAACTTTAGGCCAGTAAAGGAGTAAAAGAGGTGACTCCAGGAAACCCAGATGGGTTGTAATTCCTGTGCTGCTGTCTGTGCCGGGGCTGGGTGGAGCCATGTCAATCACACAGTTGTGGGCTCTGGGCCTCCATGCTACCAGTGGCAGGCATTATGATGGATGATGTGCATCTGGGGTTCAACATTGACGAGCAGGATGTCCTGATGTCTGTCAGGGTGTGTATGATGGGTGATGATGACAGATGACATGGTGGTGTCACATGGGATGCAGTACTGATGTTGGGTATGTTGGGGACAACGGTGATAGCCATGGGTGATTGAGACTGGCAGAGTGCAACAGAGACAATGGTGACTGGGCTGGTGGCATGGCTGCTTGGGGCTCTTTGGGGTCTTCTCTCCCCTCACAGTCTACTTTGATCTCCACATGTCACTTTTAACTCCTCAAAGCTTAGCTACTGCCAGCCTGCTGTTGAGCATATTCCTACAAATATTTGAATAGCCAGTCAACATGTATTCATATTTATGTGTTATGTTCAGCAAGAACTATGAGATCCCTTTTTGCTAGGTACACCTTGCTGGGGACCACCAGCTGTTGTCTGACACAATGGTGACACACACTGGTGACTACAGGGACTCTAGCAAAAGAGGGCTCTACAAAATAGTCACAGTAGTGTAGTGTACAACAGTTAACTTCATGCAGTCATATCAATACTACTGGTTTACATCTGTTCACCTCCATACAGGCTGCAGATGGCACTGCAGAACAGTCTCTGCAAGTTTTGATAAATTTTAATTTTTATAATAGGTTTGTACTACTATATTAGTAAGAGATGAAATGGACTTCCATCCACATGTATACTAAGCACAAACAATAAACCTACTTTTTTTGACATTTGAAGGCTTTGTGATCTTTTTAAAAATTGYGCCAAATCTATGAAAAATAAATCTGTATATAAATGGAAACTACAATCCAAGCCTGGGTTGAAGGTCAAGTCTATGTGGGGGTGGGCGTAAAACCGCTGGATCATATAGAAATTATATTTCACTTTTTGAGGAGCTGGCAAAGTGTTTTTCACAGTAGCTGTACTGGTAACGTTCCACTAGCAATGCAAAGAGTTCCTTTTTCCCWGCGCCCTGAAGGAAGCTGGCCAACTCCTCTCCTCCCGCTGGGCGGGGCCTGAGAGCTCCCCTGCTCCCCTCCTGGGTGGGGCTCAGAATCTCCCTCCTTCGGAGTGATGCACTCCCATCTCTTCTCTTCTTAGGTATCTCTGTCTGGCTCTCTGCTTCCAGTGTTGCCCACTGTGTTTAGCTGGCTGTCATCGTCTTTATTACCATGGTGATCATGAGGTGGTATCCAGGTGGCTTTGCCATCTTAAATACATTGTCTCCCAATCCATAAACATGCAATCTCTTTCTATTTATTTAAGCAGTATTCTGTAGTTCTCAGTATTTCACCTCCTTGGGTTTGCGTCTAAGTATTCTTTTTTTTTTTAAAGAGAGAGAATTTTTTAAATTTATTTTTCAGTTTTCAGTGGACACAACATCCTTATTTTATTTTTATGTGKTGCTGAGGATTGAACCCAGCGCCCCACACATGCCAGGCGATCGCATTACCGCTTGAGCCACATCCCCAGCCCTTCTAAGTATTCTTCATCAATAATTATCACCAACTAGCCAGGCTGGTGACCTGAGCTGGGTTCACAGAGCTGGCTGCACCAATAACTTAAGAAAACGGCAGAAGGAGCATGTAACACCTAGAAATACCTTAAGGAATCAGGGGTGGCTCTCAGCCTTAAGGGTCCGTTGGAAAGAGGGAGAGGGGTAGGGGTAGGGGGAGAGGGAGAGGGAGGGGGAGAGGGAGAGGGAGAGGGAGAGGGAGAAACATGCCTGAGACCCTTTTTATTGAGGAGAAAGACACTTGAGAAAGTTCCACCCAGATGAGGCAAGGGATTGGGATTAGGGGGCTGTAGCCCAGTCTCACTGGGTGACACCCACTCCCCAACCTTCATTCCCCTGCCGAGTGGAGATGAAATCCATCTGTTTCCATGCGCAGTGGGAACCAGTCTCACACCTCTGTTGCTCAAGGCAGCTTCCAAAATATAATATTATTAGAAATAGAATTGTGTCCAGAAGAGGTGGCATACACGTGTAGTCCCTGCCATTCAGGAGCATCAAGTGGGCACTTTTCAACTTAGTGTGATGGTATCTCAGAATAGAAAGTACTGAGGGTGTAACTCATTTGTACAACAACTTGGGCTCCACCCCCGGTACTCAAAAAAAATTGTTTATTTCTTTATACATTAATCATGCACTGTCAATTTGCTAAATTTGTTTATTAGCTCTAACAGATTTGTGTGAATTCTCTGTGATTTTCTGTATGTAGAATCAACTGAAAACAGAGATAGTTTGCTTCTTCATTTCCAATTCAAATGCTGTTTATTTCTATACTTTGCTTAATAATGGAGTTGGGGAAGCTCTATACCAATACAACTGGTGTCCCTTGAAGACAGATACACAAGAAGATCATGGTGTGAAGATGAAGGAGTGAAGTAGAGCAAGCCAAGGAGCTATTAGAGGCTAGAAAGACAGACAGATTCTCTGCAGAGCCAAAACCCTGCAAGGACTTTGACCTTGGCATTCTGGCTCCAGAACTCTTGAGGCTGTCTCCAGGTGCCCGGTTTGTAGTGCTCCCTTACTGCAACCCCAGGAAGCTGACACTCCACTTGGTGGGTGGTGTGGGTCTGTGGCTTTCTCTGTGGTGACGCTGTTCCTCTCAGGTGGTGCTGGCCTCATAGAATGCTTAGCAAGGGCTCCCTCCGCTGGTGTTGTTGGAACAGTTTGGTGAGATTGATGCTGTGTCTTCTCAAACTGTTTTATAGACTTCATCAGAGAAGCCATCTGGTTCTGGGCTTTTCTTCTGGGGGAAGTTTTTGATAAGTGATTCAATCTCTACTTGCTGTGGATTCTATTGAGATTTTCTCTCAAATCAGTATTGATAATGTGTGGTTTCCCAGAGTTGTGAATTTCTAAATCATCTAATGTGTTGGAATACAACTGTTCATAACAGTCTCCTCAAATGTTTTTGACTTCTGTCAGGTCAGTAGTAGTGTCCCTTCTTTGAGTTCTGATTTCAGTTTGTGCACCTCCTTTTCTTTTTTCTTAGTTGGTCTAGGTAAAGACTTGTCAATTGTGTTGATCTTTTCAAAAAACTCAAYTTTGTTTTTGTGGATTCTATTGTTTTCCTACCCTCAATTCCATTTATTTTTTCTTGATCTTTATTACCTCCTTGCTTCTTTTGGCCTGGGGATTAGTTTGCTCTTTTCTTTCTGGTTTATAAGATGTAAATTTAAGTTGTTCATGACAGCTTCCTTCTTTTTTTAATATAGCACTTACCCATATAAGTTTCCTTCCAAGTACTACCTTCACTATGTCCCATAAGTTTTGGCATGCTGTAGTTTTGTCTTCAGTTATTCCAAAATATATTCAAGGTTGCTTAGTGATTTCTTCTGGAACCACTGTTTTCTTTAAAAGTGTGTTGTTTAACTTCCATTTGTTTATGAATTTCCTGTTTTCTTGTTTTATTCACTTCTAGTTTCATTCTATTGTGATCGGAAGAAATATTTTATATGATTTCAATTTTTTAACACTCACCGAAGACTGTTTTATAACTTGCCATGTGATCCATCCTTGGATATGTGACCACCAACAAGAAACTCCATCAACTATACCTCTCGACCAGACCAGCAACTCCACCAATCCCTGGGAAAGGGTACATATTATTCTCAGAGCTACCACATTACAACATCCAAATTTTCCACTTCTTAATAAGAATTAACAAAGTACATAAAGAAACAGAAAATTATTGTCCATTTAGGGAAGAAAATATTAAATTAACAATAAACATTTCTGAGAAAAACCAAGACATTGGACTTATTAGACCAAGACTGTAAAATACTTGTATTAAATGTGCAGAAGGAAACCATGGCAACTAAGAGAATTATTAATGGGGCCTGGGGATGTGGCTCAAGTGGTAGCGTGCTCGCCTGGCATATGTGCGGCCTGGGTTCGATCCTCAGTACCACATACAAACAAAGATGTTGTGTCTGCCAAAAACTAAAAAATAAATAAATATTAAAATAAATAAATAAATATTTTTTTTAAAAAAGAGAATTATTAATGAATTGAAAAGACTATTGATACAGAGACAGAGACTTTAAACGGAACGAGATTTTAAAAAGCACTCTGGAGCTGAAACCTACAACAGCTAAATGAAATATTTACTAAGAGGCCCAACATCAGATTAGAGCAGACAAACAAAATGATCCACACATTTGACTACATCACAATTGAAATTACCCAGTCTGAAGAGCAGAAATTTAAAAAAAAAAAAACTAAATAAAAATAAACAGATAGGGCTGGGGTTGTGGCTCAGCAGTAGAGTGTCTAGCGCGTGCGAGGTGGTGA